GAGATGGATCAGCCAGGTGATGTCATTGATGGCGTCAAGTGTGGCAGCGGTAGTGAGGTTAGCCCAGGATCGGACATTGTTTCGTTTTGCTGTGCATGGGGTCGCTATGAGTCGGTTCCGACTCGATGGCACCTGATAACAATAACAAACCTGGCCAGGAAGACAAACTGTTTACTGACCTGTAAAATCATTCCATTTATTTTATTAGTCAGGTTTTCCTATCTTCCAGAGATAACCGTAGTTCTGATTTTGAGTTTGTGGCTCAAGCCACAGCCCCTCCCACTACCCCCTCCACACATACACATCATCGTTTTTTGAAAATTCTGGGGTTTTTTTTGCCTTTTTTCTGGAGTTGTTAAGTGCCGTTGAGTCAGTTCTGACTCAGTCAGACTCAAGTTCTGTTCAGACCTAGTACAGGATTTCCAAGCAGCGACTGGTGAGTTTGAACTGCCATCGTTGTGGTTCAAACTGACCTTGCAGTCCTGTGCTTACCCTACAGCGCCACACCAGAAGTCCACCCTTTCTGGAGTAGAATTGTTTTATAGGGAACAAGGCAAAACGTCACCTCTTTATAGCGAAATGAGCCAAATAGACTTGCTTGTTTGGGGGAGCCCAGTGGTTTTGCTAAGGATGGAAATGCCCTTGGTATTTGAATTCCTGCTCCTCTTCAGGGGCAGGGGTTTACTCTGCTTTCCCTGGATATACTATTCTTCATTTTCTGTCTTTTCTGCTTATCATTCCTGGGCTTCCTGGCCGTCTGCACACACTTAGTTCTGGTTTGAGTTGTTGACAGTCACATGGTCCTGTCCTTGTGTTTTATGTGTGTCCCATTGGAGAGGTGAGCACACACAGACCTGAGGGTAGACCCCGCCAAACAAGGGACCCTGCACAGGGTTTCCGAGGCTATACGGGAGCAGAAAGCCTCATCTTTCTCCCCCAGAACAGCTGGTAGTTTCGAACTGCTGACCTTGAGGTTAGCAGTCCGACTTGTAACCAGTACTCTACGAGAGGCTACACACTGCTAGTTCTTCAACTTCATGCTTTACAGTTTGAAGATCTTCTCCTTGTTGAGATACTGCTGTCCTTTCTCCACATTTTTATTCTCTGCATGTCTTTTTGATCAAAAGAGCTAAGCTAATTGTTACTGATATTTCCCCTAATTGCCTGTTGCCTAAACTTCCAGTGACTACCAGAGTGCTGGTCTAATTACATGCTGTTTGGCAGTGCCGTGCCAGCGTTATTGGCTGCAGCTCACCCACAATGGTGACTTGCCTGGGATCTTTCCTCCTGGGAATAAGCCCCGCCCCAGATGGCCCTGACAACTTGACTTGTCTGTCTTAAGTGTGAGACATCAAGACTGGGGATCAGAGTGAGAGAGCGGAACCTTTTTCTCCCTCCATGCGCATTACAGAAGTTACTGACGACTTTTCTG